TGCAGTGGCTCATGCCTGCTTCTTCATACCCAGTAGACCTTCCCATGTTATTACAACTGCAGCAAAATATCACAAGGAGGGGAAAATTCTGCTGCTTTCCGCCCCATGCCAAGCTGTTTTCCTGAGTCACTGCTCTGCCCTCTCCACAAGGCTGCACTCCTCCCTCACCCACGTTAACTCGTTCAGAACCACTTATTTCTGGGGGATGGGTGGGAGGCACAGGGTTGTGAGTGAGCCAGCCCGTTGGGGTCACAGGTCCTACTCCCTCAGAGAAGGCCAAAGAAAAGTCTTTCAGATTCAGGGTGAATCATTTCCCAGTGATTCAGTCGACAGTGGCTGTTTGTCATTGTTTCAAGTTTATAGATGAAACGCGCTAAGCAATGTATCCTTGTCAGAATTAAATCATTAAAGAAGAAAAAATTGACTCAGCTTTCTGGAAAAGGTCCTTATGGCAGCCTGGTTACCATGGCTACAGCCAGGTGCACACCCACCAGTTCATCATCACCAGAGGCCCAGCCCCCACTGGAGTGGGGGGCATTTATGTCATAATGCCACCCTGTTGTCTCATCCTTCCAAAGGATACTGAATCCAGCAGGCATTTCCCAATTTTTCTCCCTATGAGCCTTCATTGAAATCCCCTGCTGTTGACTGATGGGTTTGTTGTTTGGAAGCTATCAAATTTTGACCCCTTCGATACAACCACTGAACTCTCATCAACTCCAGGGGGAATTGATGTGTTTGTAACAGCGAACAGAATTGGGGTTTTTATGTTTTGCTGAAACCGGAAGGTTCGGAATACTCTCAGATGTGGGCCTCCTTGGGCGAGGACCCAGGTCCCCACACCCGTTGCTGAGCAGAACCTCAGTTTCCCCCTTTGTTTCCTGGTGGGCTTGGGCTAAATTCCCTTGCCAACTATGCATACAAGTGTATTAATTTCTAGTGATTTTTTTTCCCTTTTCCCCATTAAATTAAAGAATTTTAATGTTCAAGAGGGACTTTATCATTTTCTGGGGAACCTGAAGTTTTTAATCATTGGAACTGAGGACACCTTTGCAAAGGGGAAGTAAGTTATGGCCCATGACCCAAGCAGCTGCCCTCCTGTATACAGTGTGCCTGTTGGAGGGTCCCTGGATCACTGTCGTGGACTTTAAGCAAGATCTTCTAGTCTGCTCCCTTTCTCCTGCTCTCTTCCCATTTTGCAACCTCTGCCTCCTGGCTTCAAGCGGTTCTCCCGCCTCAGCCTCCCTAGTAGTTGGGACTACACCATACCTGGCTAATTTTTGTATTTTTAGTAGAGACAGGGTTTCACCATCTTGGCCAGGCTGGTCTCGAACTCCTGACCTCAAGTGATCTGCTCTCCTCAGCCTCCCAAGGTGCATGATTACAGGGGTGAGCCACCGCACCCGGCCAATTTTCTTTATTTTCCTAGTGTCATCCAGGCACATGATAAATACAGTACACAAGGGTATAGAGTTGAAAATAATCCTTCCCTGGACTCCCTGCAGGCTCTCCTGCCAAGGCAACCAGTAGTCCCTAAGTTGAGCTCTGTTGTACTTTTGTGTTCATCCAGGAATATTCCATATTTACACAAACATTGATGTGTATATTAATTCTTTTTGGGGAGGAATATGGGTCCGTTAATGGTGCTGGATACACTTAATTTATTATTTATTATTTTTGAGATGGAGTCTTGCTCTGTTGCCTAGGCTGCAGTGCAATGGTGCGATCTTGGCTCACTGCAACCTTTGCCTCCCGGGCTCAATCTATTCTCCTGCCTCAGCCTCCTGAGTAGCTGGGATTACAGGCACGCGCCACCATGCCCAGCTAATGTTTTTGTATTTTTAGTAGAGACGGGGTTTCACCGTGTTGACCAGGATGGTCTCGATCTCTTGACCTCGTGATCCACCCGCCTCAGCCTCCCAAAGTGCTGGGATTACAGGCGTGAGCCACCGTGCCCGGCCTAATTTTTTGTATTTTTAGTAGAGATGGGGATTCACCATGTTGGCCAGTCTGGTCTCGAATTCCTGACCTCAGGTGATCCGCCTGCCTCCTCCTCCCAAAGTGCTGAGATTATAGGTGTGAGCCACCACCTACAGCCTAATTTTTGTATTTTTTGTAGAGACGGGGTTTCACCATGTTGCCAGGAGCTTTTTAATCTTTTTAAAGAACTTTTAAATTTTTTTAATTAAAAAGCTTTTTTTCAGAGACAGGGTCTCGCTTTGTCACCAAGGCTGGAGTGCTCCGACATGATCACAGTTCACAGTACACTCAAACTCCTGGGCTCAAGCAGTCTATCCCCCTTGGCCTCCCAAAGTGCTGGGATTACAGGTGTGAGCCGCCATGTCCGGCCATATGACTGTAAGGTATTCATAGACCAGTCCTCCGTCCGCAGACGCTTGAGTGATTTGGGTACAGCACGCAATGCTCAGTGCAGTCATGTTTCCTCTGCTCCTTTTCCACTGTATTTGTAGAATTTGTTTTAAGAGGAGATTGTCGGGTCAAAGGCCAAGTGGAGAAAAAGTTTTCAGGAACAATGGCGGTAGGACTTACCTGGGAGGGAGGGGAGGTTTCTCTGGAGGAATGTGTTCATCATGGGCTGTACCCCTGCATCTCTTTTTTGTTTGTTTGTTTGTTTTGAGACGGAGTCTTGCTCTGTCGCCCACACTGGAGTGTAGTGGTGCGATCTCGTCTCACAGCAACCTTCTATCTTGGCTCAAAGCAACCTCCGACTCCTGGGTTCAAGTGATTCTCCTGCCCCAGTCTCCCACGTAGCTGGGATTACAGGCATGCACTACTATGCCCAGCTAATTTTTTTATTTTTAGTAGAGATGGGGTTTCACCATGTTGGCTAGGCTGACCCCTGCATCTCTTTTGTGAGTTTTCCCACTAATTAGCTGCTGTGTACCTTTGGGCCAGTGCCTTGGGCTCTCTGGGTTTCCCATTTTTGATGTCTGTGGTTTGATCTCTGGACTCTAGGGTCTGTTCACCCTTAAGGTACCTGCTGTTAGCATTTAATTTCCACTCAGGACTGCGTCTCCATGTAACAGCCTGAATATTTGTTCAGGACTGTCCAGAAGCTTGCCTGGTGAGGCTGGAGAGTTCCACCCTGTAGACTGGATTTTGGGAAAGCGTTCATTGTCTTCCTCTGTGAATCTGCTGGAAGATGTTTTGCCTTTTCACCAAAGTCATCCGCTAGGAGGCCTTGCTTGGACCATGATGGATGCTGTTAATCTGCCCTCAGTGACTCTCCTGCAGACAGGGAGACAGATGCACCGTGTAGCCTGCATGCTGAGTGGTAAAACTGGGGCAGGAGCATCTTTGGTAATTGACATCTTTATGGATTTCACCTCCCATCCTACCCCACTCCCCTGTGCTCTTGGCACAGCTTTCCCCTCTTGTGGTATTTATAGCTTTCTAAGGATGTCAGGTGCACCAGGCTGTGCCATTTTATCGTTCCTAAGTTAACAAGACCACCATCAGGTGTGGAGCGGATTCAAGTCCTTGCAGGTGAAGATTAGATGGATGGTGGTGGAAGTGTACATGTGTTTATTTATTTATTCGTATATATTTTTTGAGACAGAGTCTCTTGTCACCCAGGCTGGAGTCCAGTGGCTCGATCTTGGCTCACTGCAACCTCTGCCTACTGGGTTCAAGTGATTCTCCTGTCTCAGAGTAGCTGGGATTACAGGCGTGTGTCACCACGCCCAGCTAATTTTTTTTTGTGTTTTTAGTAGAGACGGGGTTTTACCATGTTGGCCAGGCTGGTCTTGATCTTATGACTTCAGGCGATCTGCCCACCTCAGCCTCCCAAGGTGCTGGGGATTACAGGTGTGAGGTACCGTGCCTGGTCGAACTGTATATGTGTTTAAATGAGATGAGGGGAGATGAAAACCAGGGGTGCATGAATAAGAGTGGGGCTGGAATTTTCCAGATGAGAATCCACAAGGATGTAATTTGTATGATCTTTTTGGAGGAGAGTCTCAAACATGAGCCCCAATGGGGGTGGGGCCGTGGGAAATTCCCGGTGGGTGGGGTGTGCTTTCACAAAGTTATAGTTCATAGCCTTTTAAACAGGAATAAGTGATGTTGTCTTCCACAAAGGAGAATGTGTGCCTTCATTTCCTTGACGTATGTAGCCTCCCTGGCCTATCTTCTTTGGTTTCCTGCTTTTGCAATCAGGCATGGGCATGGAGAAGACATGTTTCTTTGGGGTAAGAATAATACAGGTGCCTGTGTGACGACTCTTGACAGCTTGGCCTCAGGACTCATCAGCAGGGACATAGTGGGGAAGAGTGGCGATTTCGGCAAGAGGGAGGGCATGTTTCTATCTAAAAGTGGGGTAGCTGTTGCTCAGCTGTATCTGGTGCTATGGGGGCCTACAGGTCCCAATCTGTTGCTTTTATTTCTGAGATCGTGTCTTGCTTTCTTGCCCAGGCTGGAGTGCAATGGCATGATCTTGGCCCACTGCAACCTCCGCCTCCTGGGTTCAAGCAATTCTCCTGCCTCAGCCTCTCGAGTAGCTGGGATTACAGGCACACGCCATCATGCCTGCCTAATTTTTGTATATTCTTAGTAGAGATGGCGTTTCACCATGTTGGCCAGGCTGGTCTTGAACTCTTGACCTCGTGATCTGCCCACCTCGGCCTTCCAGAGTGCTGGGATTACAGGCGTGAGCCACCGTGCCCAGCCCTCCTAATCTGTTTTTTTAAGAAAAGTGAAAAATCTAGGTTATTACGTGAAATTTCCTGATTTTTGTATCTTGGCAACAAACTAAGATTGTACAAAAATGTTATTTAGGTCTTAGAAATACTTGTCAGACCGTTGAGGCAGACAGTGGAGAAGGGGGCTCGTATATTCTAGGAGGAGCAACACTGAAGTGTGTTTGGGAGTTGGGGTACAGAATGCACTCTGTTCCCACACTCCGATCCTTCGCATCTCCTCCCTGTGGGGCCCAGGCCTCCCTGACTGCTTTAAAACATGTGGTCCTGTATCTCTTTCAGATCCTGGCTCTGCAGAGAGAACAGCCCAGAAAAGAAAGTTCCCCAGCCCTCCACATTCTTCCAATGGCCATTCGCCGCAGGACACATCAACAAGCCCCATTAAAAAGAAAAAGAAACCTGGCTTACTGAACAGTAACAATAAGGAGCAGGTAAAGGAGCCACTGGGAATGGTGTCCTCACTGGCGGGGCAGAGGCCAACTAGCAGCGCTGAACCTCTCTGGGTCCTTGTAAGCGCCGGCTTTCTTGGCATTTAGCTAGCTGCCTTGTGCTGGCTGTCATTAGGCTTGGACAAAAAAAGGTGGCTCAAAATGGGCCTGTGTAGATGTTCAGTGGGTTTTGGGGACAGAGTAGTGACCTAGATGAGATGAGGGTATATCGTTCTTCAGCGTTTGGGGCGTTGCCTTGTATTGTTTCTTTTTTCATGCTTTTAGGACTGTTTTCCCTACATGGCCTGTGGAGTTTACCCCTCCTGGGCCATGCCTATGGAACTAGCTCTCAGCTCTGTCTGGAAGCGGTTGCTTGACTGAGGCAAGCTCCCTTCTGGCCTCAGTTTTCTCATCTGTAAAATGAAGGGTTTAGGTCCCTGGTAAGAGGCATTGCCAGGGGCAGACTTAGGTAACTGATCACAGTTCCTTTTCCTGGAGTACATAGGGATCTTGCCCAGAGCCTACCCTCCCTTGGCAGCTCGCGCCAGTTAGGAAAAATCCATTCACCATTTGGATCTTTTCTAAGGGACCTTCTAGCTTTAGAATTCTCAGGGGCAGGCTAGATACTCTTCGGATTAAGAAAATGGAGAGACACTTTAGTGGACTTATAGGTGGACTGGATCTATCCCCTCTGGACCATGAGGTCAGAACTCATAGCACTGAAGAAAACAGTGTCCCTGTGGTTCTGACGCCACTTGTTCTTCAGCAGTGATTCCTAGGGATGCATTTACCCATTTTGTGCATTATTGCGAAGAGGAGTGGGCCCTAGGGATGGAAAGTTGAATTAAACAAGATTGTTGCTTTTGTGGAAGGAGACCCAGCAACGGTTGAATACCCAGGCCTGTGAGAGGTGTGTGTTTCTGAGCATGAATCTGTTTTCACTCTCAAAATTACATGGTGAAATGCCAGCTCTGCTTTTGCCTTGTGGCTGTGGGCAAGTTAACCTCTTTTGTGCCTCGTTTTCTCATCTACTGAAATGGGGCTAATGATACAGCTACCACGAATTTTGCAGGGTTGTGAAGATTGAGCTAAATGGCATAAATAGTAATGTTAAAGATGGGCCAGGCACGGTGGCTCATGCCTGTAATCCCAGCACTTTGGGAGGCTGAGGCAGGTGGATCATGACTTTGAGAGATTGAGACCATCTTGGCCAACACGGGAAAACCCCGTCTCTATTAAAAATACAAAAATTAGCTGCGTGTGGTGGTACGCGCCTGTAATCCCAGCTACTTGGGAGGCCGATACAGGAGAATCGCTTGAACTGAGGAGGCAGAGGTTGCAGTGAGCCGAGATCATGCCACTGCACTCCATCCAGCCTGGTGACAGAGCGTGACTCCGTCTCAAAAAAAGAGAAAAAGAAATTTGGAGGCACACTGGCATTCAGACCATGGCACTCAACAAAGTCTAGCAGCAGCTGTAGCTGAGTCATGCCTGTTCCTTTAGACACAGCCCTGTGCTGGCTCACCTGCCACACTCCCCACCCTTCCCTGTCGTCTTGCACTCAGTCTGCTCTGCTCATTCCATCCTCCTGTGAATTTCTTTTTATGTCCATGTGACTTTGACATTTGTGAAGATTCTTCACCATCTTACTCTTTTTTTTTACTCTAGTTTCTCTTTTTTGTCCATTGTTCTAGAAAGAAAGCCATTAAATAGGCCGGGCTTCGTGGCTCAGGCCCGTAATTCCAGCTACTTGGGAGGCTGAGGCAGGAGAATCGCTTGAACCCAGGAGGCAGAGGTTGCAGTGAGGTAAGATCGTGTCACTGCACTCCAACCTGGGCGACAGACTGAGACTTTGTCTAAAAAAAAAAAGGATGATGTTCATTGTAAGAAAAAAACCCAACAATAACAAAAATCAAAAGCAAATAATCCATATATTTCCATTTTTGGTATAGACGTTTTATTACCGCTTGGAAATATTGGATGAGTTTGAAGTCTGGTCCCTGTTTTACCCATTTATCATGTGTTAGGAATTCATTTTAGGGAAGTTGTTTTTTCATTTTTATTTTGTGAGACAGGGTCTGACTGCAGTGTCCAGGCGAGAGTGCAGTAGCATGACTGCAGCCGTGTCCTCCCCGTCCCCACCCCCCGCTCAAGCAATGCTCTTGCCTCAGCCTCCTGAGTAGCGGGGATTATAGGTGCATGGCAGCACACCTGGCTAGCTTTTTGATTTTGTTACAGAGATGGGGTTTCACTTTCTTGCCGAGACTGGTCGCAAACTTCTGGGCTGAAGTGATTCTCCTGCTTCAGCCTCCCAAAGTGTTGGGATTACAGGCATGAACCACTGCCCAGCCAGAAGTGTAAAGAAGAGTTTTAAAACACATTTTGTTTTCAGGGTCTCATAGCATCCTAAGGTTTACCATGCACTTTCTAAAGACCTTTGTTTGGTCCAGTGGTTTTACCCCTTAGGAAGGTTTGAGAATGCCTGGGAGGATGTTCCCGGCTTTTTATGGAGGAGGGTCAGTTTGCTAAATGGATGTCCTGTGGTAGACGGGGCAAGAAATACCTTGCCCAAAATGACGTCAGGGTCTCTACAGATAAATACCACTCTACTCTTCAGTTCTGACACATTTGAGTTCAAACGTCCTTTTGGGAGGTGTTTTGTTTTTTTCTTCTAACATTAAAGGATTAAGAAATAATGTGTCAGCAGATATGTACAGAATGGACTTAGGTATATCTTTGATCATATATGGCAAAGAAATGATGGGACCCCCTCCTCACTGTCTCTGAGTACAGGGTGTGTACGTATCTGAATGAGTGGCTGGTACTCATTTTCTTGGACCCATACGTTGCCCTAAAAACTGGGACATTTCACAGAAGTCTTTCTTTTCTTTTCTTTCCTCTTTTTTTTTTTTTTTTTTTTTTTTTAAAGAGACCAGGCTTTGCAGAGTCACGCATGGTAGCTCACACCTGTAATACCAGCACTTTGGGAGGCTGAGGCAGGTAGATCACCTGAGGCCAGTAGTTCAAGACTAGCTTGGACAACATGACAACATGGTGAAACCCCATCTCTACTAAAAATACCAAATTAGCTGGGTGTACCTGTGGCATGTACCTGTAATCCCAGCAACTTGGTAGGCTGAGGCAGGAGAATTGCTTGAACCCTGGAGGTTGTAGTGAACCGAGATCGCACCACTGCACTCCAGCCTGGGTGACAGAGTGAAACTCTATATCCAAAAAAAAAAAAAAAAAAAAAAGAAGAAAAGAAAGAGGCAGGGCTTTGCTCTGTCGCCCATGCCGGAGTGCACTGGTGTGATTGTGGCACACTATAGCCTTGGGCTCCTGGGCTCAAGTGATCCTCCCACCTCAGCCTCCCAAGTAGCTGGGACTACAGGTGTGCTCCATCATGCCTGGCTAATTTTTTTTCTTCTAGGGATAGGGTCATGTTTTGTTGCCCAGGCTAGTCCTGAACTTCCGGGCTCAAGTGATTCTCCCACCTCATTCTGCCAGTTGGTGAGATTATAGGTGTGAGCCACTGCACAGGCCCACAGCAGTCTTTTGTTGGGCTGAGACAGTGTATTAACAGTTGAGACAGTTCAGGGGAGTGTAGGGATTGCCAATTTCTCCCCAAGGTCAGGCGACACTAGGAGTGTGTGTCTGCCCAACTCCCTGGATTATTGGAGCTGAGTGGGGGCTGCCTCTGTAAGATGAGTCTGAGCTCTGCCTGACCCTGCTGTCTCCCCTACTTCGAGGTTGAATGCCAGTGTGTCCTCACACTCCAGAGCTAAGTGGTTTTTTTCTTATGTACTTCACAGTATTCACACTTTTAACAGATGTAGGAGAAGGAGAGCTGAGCCTATGG